TTAAATATGTATTAAATGCAGGGTCTGGATAGAGGCGATAAGGCTTTCTGCCTCTCTTCCCATCCCAGCACATGCAACACCAAATTTTCCCTTTCAGCCTTTGGTTGCTCATCAAATTCCATCACAATGAAGAGTATCGTAAACAATAGTTGGTGTCAGGAAACGATTTCTAACTCCTGATAAGTCCATTGATGATCTCATGACACTAAAATTTGCTACTCTGAATAACCCAGTAAAACAAAACCTCTTTTTTTTTTTTTACATTCCTTGCCCATCTAATGGTCATTTATTATAGTTTTTAAAATTAAATACCTGAATATGTTTTAAAAGGTGCTAAGGCTTTGGTCAATAAGGGAAGAAACTCCAGTTCCTGGCCTTGACCAATAAAGGAAGTGAGAAATACCATCAGCTTTTGTTGGAAAAAAATTTCTAAGGAGTGGAAAAAATAGATCCTTCCAGGAAAGGTGTGGTAGCGCTATTTCTGCGCTACTCTTGTTAATCGAGAATACTTTCAGAAATGACCGCGTGGCCTGCGCTGGAAGTCTTGGTCAACGTTTTGTGTTGCGAGTGCTTATTTTTAACTTCTTTTTGAAGCATTGTTTTTGTCTAATGAAATTCTAATGCGGTAGGAAAACGAAGCCCTGGTCGAAGTTCGCTGTGATAAGAATTTTGGCGGCTGGGTACAGTCCCAGTGTGTGCTCACCTCCAGGATCCTAGTTATGGGCCAGTTTTGTCGTGTCTGGGGTGGGTCTCGGGGGTCTGGGAGTTTGCTGGGGAGAATAGCTACGTGGGAGAGGAGGCTGTGACTTTCTAAGTGCAGCCCATGCCCACAGCCTTCACTGCAGCCCTTAACTGCTTCGCCCATGTCCCCAGTACCCTGGCCTCAAGTGATTGAACCAGGATTAGGTGTCAGGCCCTGTGGACAGCCACTCAGTGGCTATGAAATGGCCCGGTACACTTGCTCTGCCCAGCGGGATGGTCTGTCCTTGACGGCGTCTGACCAGCCTAGTCAGTCTCCCGCGTGGGGAGTGGGGCTGTCAGACACAGAGCGAGCAGGCACACCGTGGTATGGGTTCAAACGGAGAGATACTGCAGACGAGGAGACAGCTCGAGAAGCCAGGAGTGAGCAGACCTTGAAGCGGAAGAAGCAGAAGGAAGCAGTTAGAAGAGCAGCAGGAAAAACAGCAGCAAGTGTTGAGAAAGAAGCCATGGCCTGGGAGCCGGGTCCTCGCAGAACCAGAACCAGAGCCGTTCGGGGCCACAGAGCTGCTGGTGGACGCCCGTAGCTAGCTGTCCTGTGCCCTGAGCAGCCGTGGACGCCGGTCCACTTCTCGAGTGCTGGCTCTGCCCCCAGTCAGAGGTAGTCTCATGTTCCTTACAGTAACCCCTGTGCTGGAACATTTTGTTCAGAAATGCCTGTGGCCTCTCCCTGGGGGAGGCTTGGCCGTGCGATTGCTTTCGTCAGCGGAATGTGGAATGCATCATATGACGTCTGTTATGCCCAAACACGCTTGAGGATCAGTGCACGGTCCACCATACTCTTTCTGGATGACAGCTAGTCATCTCAGAGAGAGCTTCACCCTGGCAGCCTGAGGCCCGGGTGAAGACGGCGTGGGGAAAAGAGCCACAGCCGATTGAAACGCTCATGTCACGTGAGAAAGAAAGAAACCGTTGATGACATGAGCTCTCAGATGTGGGGTTCGTTTGTTGCAGCAAAATCTAGCCTAAACTGACTTAAAGAAACAACAACGACAGTAACCAGGGTGACCCAAGCATATATCCGTGTCCCTCGCACGCCCAAGGAGTCTCAACCAGTGCACGCCATGGCCCGCCACACTTCACCGACCTCACGGCACGTGCTTTTGACCTTCCTGGCCGGGAGGGCATGCGTCACCCGATGCGGAGTCAGCGACTACAGTGCGGTGCTCTCTTTCCAGTCGCCAGTCTCCCAGTCGGTCCCCTATTAAATGTGTATCCAACATAAAAATCAGCACAAAATACTGTCTGAATTAAATCCCGACGTCTGCCTTTTCTCTCTTTGAGATTCGAGTCTTTCGTGATGTCGTCCTCCTCCCCAGTTCCCTTCCCCAATTTTATTATAATATTCTTTCCCCAACATATAAATAACTGAAAGACTTTTGGAGTGAACAGCCACATATTTACCAGCTGGATTCTACAGTTGCCATTTTGCTTTATTTGTTTCTTCGCGTATCCCTCTGCCTGTCTGTCCATCCCTCTTTCTACCCAGCGATCTCGTTTTTCTTTGGATGCGTAAGTTGCAGACACGCGATGACGTGATGTTGCCTTCTCCCTTGCCATTTAGTCTTTTTCCTATTAATTCTGGATTAAAAATCGCTGTCTAGCCTTGCTGGAGTTTGTCCGGACTGTTTTCTCTGCTTGCCCAAACTCGCACGTTGACACCCTTCGCTGATCGTGAACTCTGCATTTGTCCGCATTACGTAAACCCCGGGCGCCCACACTCTCCCAATCTCTCACTGTAATTTTCCCCTGTTACTTCCTGTCTTATCTCTTCACTCACCACAAGTTTTCATTTGCTTTCCCTTCTCTCTTTCAGCTCCCGGCAGATAATTTTTAAACTAAACAACAGCTGAACAATATCCCCACTGTTCTGTGTGTCTGAGTATTCACGGCACGTCCACGTTTGCCCAGAACAGAAGGAAAACACAGTTTCTTCTATTTTCTTTCTTTGCATCAAAAATAATCAAGTCTGTCTGCATGACCTTCACACATCAGACCGTTCGGCTATTTTAAAACTCTGTTTAATAGAGTAAGTCAAGCCGCATTCCCCTCGTCGGAAGAATCTTTACCACTAAATAGCGTGGTAAATGCCAAGGGAACAATGCATCTTTGTAGCACAGGAGAGAGACGCTGCCACCCTACAATTGCTGGGTCGTTTAAATTATTACACGGCAGTTCGTGCCGGACACATATTTGCGTTATCGTACAAGTAGTTTTCCATTCTGGTTTTCCATGGCCTGTTGAAGGGAATCCTCCTCACGCAGTGAAGAACTAGAAGCCCCCATTACGTGGTCTGCTACATTTAATTTTATCGCCCTGGCCTGCCGTCTTTCTATTTTTTAATAAAAGGCTATCAGCAATGAGGTAAAAGACTGCAAACAATCTCCAGCAACTCCGGCCCCACTATATTTTATTTACTAACAGCTATAATAAAGCTTTCAGGGAAGAAATATCTTACATAGCACTTTCCTTGTTAGTGAGAATCAATTCCGCAGCAGCCTTTACCGCCGTATCTGAGATTATAAAGCTGAGCTGGCTATTTCAAAGTGAAGGCGAAAAAAAAAAAAAGGAAAAATAGTCATAAAAAAAATATTGTGGGAAGAAAGTCAAGAGAAATGGTATGGAATTAAATTAGCAGCTCCTACTCGTAAATGTCAGGTTCTTGCCGCGATAGTTTGGAGTCGAATGGCGACTTCCTTCACTCATTTACTCCCCACTCGTCAGTCACTCAGTCTGCACCAGGCACTCAATGAAGCACTGGGAACGTAAAGAAGAAGAGGACGTGTGCCCTGTCCTCAGGGAGTGTGTGGTTTGGGACGGGAGATAGACATGTGGCCTGGCAGTTACGTTCCACTTAGATCGGAGATGCTGTGACAGGGGCACGCAGAGAACTGGGGGCAGGGGGCGCCTCCCCCAGACTGAAGAGGGCGAGAATGCTCAGAGAGGCTTCCTGGAGGCATCTTGAAGGACAAATGGGAGTTAGCCAACTGGGGAAGAAGGAATAGTCGTTAAAATTCTTTTTCCTGCAAGCAATAAACAACTCAATACAAACCGGCTTAATAAAAAAAGAGAATATATCGGCTCACGTACCTATTGGCTTCAGACATAGCTGTGTCCAGAGTCTAGTGCAAATTATATTTGTAATGATCCTGTTTTCAAATACAGTCACATTCTAAAGTACCAGAAGCCAGGACTTCATTGTATGAATTTGGGGGAGGGGAGGCACAATTCAACCCACAACACCCTGCCTTTCTGCCTTTCTTCTTGGATCTCCTGCCGGTACCTCCCATTGGCTGGACCCAAATAGAGAGTAAACGTCACTCCGGGACGTTTTCCCCTGTGGCCTACTAGCTGTCTACCACCTAGGGACTACATTCAGTTGCATGTTACGAGAACTCAGGAACAGTGGTAATAATTCAAATGGAGTTTATTTTCCTTTGCGTATCAAGACATTCAGAGTAAGTCAGGCCCAAGCGGGTGCTGCGGCTTAAGGAAGTCACCAGAGGCCCAGATTCCTGCCAGTCCATCGCTCCACCACATGCTGCACATGACTTTTGGCTTCATGGCCCCACATCTGTGTTCCAGACTGAAAGAAATAGAAGGAAACTTGGAGGATAAAGGGCAGGAGAAGTCAAGAAGGCAGAACTTTCTCAGAAAGCCACGGGATGTGGCCATTTCTATCTCATACAGTGGAACTGTGTCATATGGCTGTCCCTTCCTACACGGGAGGCTGGGAAGTAAAATTTTTCCTCTGGGCTGATTGTCAATTAGGTTTCTGTTAATAAAGATGAAGCGGAGAGTGGCTATTGGATGGACACCTGGCAGGGTCAGCTGCACGGGCCAGTGGCACCCACGAGCTCGGCTTCCGCCTTAGAAGGTGGCGCCCAGACGGAAGCACTGCCGTTCTGAGGCTCTGAGTGGATGGGGAAAGCAATGAATACGATTACTAAGAATCAAGGCCCGGATTTAAATAAAATCCTTCCGAGAAAATTCTGTAAGCCCCCTACCATGAGTACTGTCTCTCAACAGTCTCTGCTCTCAGAAAATATGCTTGTCCAAGGATGACTGGAGAAATGTCTTCAGAATTCTTTACCTCTCCCGAGTTACTGTTTGTTGATGTACTTATAAACCTCATCGGGGGCTCACGCATATTTCATCTAACAGCAGTCAATGAGCCCTCTTCCTCTGTCTTACTCAGACGTGGGCAAAGAATTTAATTTAATTCTCTCTTCTCTCTTTAGAGGAAAAGAACCAAATTCATTGCCTGTGATTTTCTGACGGAGTGGTTATACAAGTAAGTTTTTCAAGTCTCTGAATATTCAGTGACCCTACGGATTTAATAGTGTTAATTTGCAAGCAGAATAGCAACAATTGACCTGAATTCTTATTGTTTTCTTGTCAATCGAACATATGGCATCACGACCAGTCAAAATCCAAAGAGGGTAGGGGAGCCATTCACGGAATTCTTCTCCATTCCATTTGTGGAGCAGTGGCTGAAGCAACAGTAAGTGCCGACATGTGGCTTTAGATAATTTCCTCCTAATTGTAAGGTCGTATTAATGATGATTTTCTCCAGTCCAGGAGAACTAATCCACCCAGGACCCCAGGTCAGTTCCATTTGTGGCTTTTGTCTCTGGTTATTTTCAGTCTAGGCCAAGGACATGTCTACATGCAGTGATTATTCAAGAAGCACTTCAGAAAGAAAATAGAAAACTTTAAACAATTCTTATACTAAGTAATTCAGCTCTCCATTCTCTCTCCTTCTCTCCCTCCCCACTCCTCTGAAGGTCATTATGTCTCAGCAAATACGACTAACGTTTTTCAAATACTAATTTTTACTTACGCGCGTCACTTCTACACTTAAAAGTATCAGAACATGACAGGTACAACTCTGTTTGACCATCATTCTACTGAGCCTTCTCTCCTCACGGATATAATCAGTTTAGTCTATAGTGCATACTTCCAGAGTTCTTAAAATTAGATGTTTAACTACACAAAAAAATTAATTATATCATATGAAATTGGTAGTAGTATTTTTTTGTGAGCTGTTTTTCATCTGCAATGAGCGACAATGTGATTAGCGACATTTATCGATGGGCGCTGGTATCCGAGACAAGAGCTAAAAGTGAGAGGAAATTCAAATTGGAAGGGGGAAGAGTGGAGAAAGTTCCCGGTGGGCACTGTCACCCGATCGCATCTACCGAGAGCGAGGCCCAGGCAGGGTCTGTGGGTCCTGGGCGAGGGGAGGTGGCTGCTGCCGCTGCTGCGGCGAAGCTGATGGGGCTTGATAAGGCTGGTCCGGCTGACGGCCTGACCGTGCGGTGCCCAGGACAGCCAGCTTCTGCCATCATCTCCAGCAGCCTTGTAAAGGGGGTGGGGACAATAGACGACTGGGCAGGTCGGGGTGGAAGGCTGGCAAAGCTAATACAGTGCAAGGTCCAGACTGAGCCCAGGGGACCGTAAGTACAAGGGAAGGCATTGTTCACCTCCCTAAGAATACCGTCTCAACGTTTTTCTGATAAATTACCATATTTTCTGAATTACGTTAACAATTTAACAACCATTTTTCAGGCAGGGGAAGAAATACTACATTATGTGTTCATATCGGAAAGAAGAAATATACCAAACCCAGAAACACTAAAATGGAGATGGTCGGGTCCATAAGGGTTTTGAAATAAGATCCATTGTGTGGATCTTATTTGGATCCTGATTCAAAGAAACAAGCTAAAAATGATGAGGCGATTGGAAATTTGAACACTGAGTAAATAGTTAATGGTATAAAGAATTATTTTATTTAAAGTACGATAATGATTTCATAATCATGAAAAAAGATGACTTTTTACAGAAACATGCTGAAATATTTATGAATGAAATATGAGATGATATATCTGTGGACAGGGCTGGGGGGGACTTATACCGAGTGACTGATGTGGAAAGCAGTATAATTGAAGCCGGCTGATGGTGACATGGGTTCATTTTTTTTCCTGCCTACTTTTTTATGTCTTTGAAATTTTCCATAATAAAAAATTAAAAGGAAAAGCAACGATGAACATTTTCAGAGCTCCTCGTGAGCGCCCGATTGAATGGCGGCTGTGCCGTGGGCGAGGAAGTAGCTGTTGACTGGCGCTGGGCCGGGCGAGCGGAGGGCTGTTCTTTTCCACTGGAGGTGGCCAGAGTGACGGAGTATTCACGGGACCGTGCTGGAGTGGCAGGAAATGGCCCTGGGGCAAGAGGAGAGTGGCAGGTGCGGGCCCAAGGGAGAGGCCTCAGTACAGCTGTCTCTTGCCCTCCCTACACCCCTTCTTCAGGGCCAAACTCAGTTCTCCCAGCAGCACCGGGGAGGAGGACTGGTGTGGGCAGAGCCCTGGGCTTGCCCTGAGAACATGGCTCCAGTCACTTAGCATTCCTGAGGACCAAGGGCAAGGCTTTCAAGGTCAGGTCATCAAAGATTCTGTAGAGGTCAGGTCATCAAAGATTCTGTAGAGGGTAGTAAGTCTTTTGGGCTTTGCAGGCCACATGTAGTCTCTGTTGCAATTATTCAACTCCACCATTGTAGCATGAAACAGCCATAGACAATATGTGAAGAAGTAGGCATGGCTGCGTTCCAATAAAACTTTATTTACAAAACTTTATTTACAAACTTTATTTGACCCACAGGCTATATAGTTGGCTGCTCCCTGTTCTAGGGGCCCACCAATAACCTTCCCAAACGATAGCCCCACGTAAGGGCAAATAATATAAATAGAAATAAGTGGGTGGGAAAGATGAAAAGCTAGAGAGAGTTATGATCAGAGTGGGAATTTGGGAAATCGAGATGCGAGAGTCTTCGGTGATTACCTGTTCCAAGGTGTTACCGCTCTACTGAGCAGCGGACCTGAGGAAGATGGGTCATGTGGATTCGAGGCCGTGGTGTCGGAGATGTCATCCGTGTGAATCATGCAGTCTCTGAAAAGGCTGATGGGGTGGGTTGAAGACGATGACAGGAAGTCACATCCTGGAGCTATCAAAGGTGGCGTTAGAATATCCTAGAAGTCAAAGCTGTGATGGCAGTGAAGTGTAGGCGTTAGGAGCTTGGGCTCCGGCCGTGGTGTGACTCTGGGCAAAGTCGACTTAACCTCTTCGAGCTCAGTTTTTCCATCTATAAAGTGGTCTTTCATCTAAACAGATCTAGTTCCCTGCATAAGAGAAATTCTGGTGACAACTATTAAAGGAATACATTTGTTTCTACTTCTGATACATACACACCAAGCAGGTAGGCTCCAGCTACCCAAAGGGAGTGGTTTAATTTATTTGTTCATTTATTCAGCTAATATTTATTGAATGATTAAATGCACTCTAAAGTTACGGAGCAGTCATATTCTTAAGCTGGCTGGCTGCCATCTCTGGGACACTTACTATGTGCCATGGTCCCTGATTTTGTATACAGTTGGATTGCAGTATGTATGGACTTAATTTATGCTGATTCGATGCTGTGCTCTTGGGCGGTAGAGAGAAGATTCTACCTTGGAGGCGAAGCATGAAATAGGCCCCAGACTCAGCTTTTTTCTTAGTTGTTCTTAGTATTATGTGCCTCTTATAACGTGAGCTGCTCATAAGGCAGCTCCTTCTTCTGTCTGTCTGTCTGTCTGTCTACCTGCCTACCTACTAAGCATTTATATAATGTTGAGTCAGGTACTTTTCTGAACAGTTTAGAAATATTACCTGATTTAACTTGCATAACAGCTCTAGAAAGTAGGAAACATTTCTATGTTCATCGTATTTATCAGGCTAGATTAGCTAGGTCGCAGTTATAAACACTACCAAAATACCAGTGGCTTAACCCAATAAGAGCTTATTTTTTGCTCATACCATGGCTGGTGCAGGTTGAAATTATAAATTATAAATTATAGCTATTTGGAGCATGGGATCTTTGAGGTCACTGAAGCAAAGGAAGAAAAGAATAGAGGAGGCACCCTAGTTCTTAACCATCTCAGCCTAGAAGGCTCTTAACTTTCTCACCTTTCCTCACATGGCGCCAAACCAACTGCAAGGGAGGCTGGGAGACGTAAGGGAACACGTGGATATTCTCTGAGTACCTAGTAGTCGTGATGACAGCCGTATTTCCCAGAAAGAACTGAGGCACAGGGAAATTGCAGAAGTTGTTTGCCCCAGGTCACAAGCTAGTAGATAGCCGAGGCGAGATTTGAACCCGGGCAGTCGGGCTCCAGAGTTTGTGCTGTTAAGAGCATGGCTAATTACGCTACTGCCTTCTACGTCACTTGGTACTTAGAGTGAGCAGCTCCAAGAGTAGGAGAAAACTGGTTCTGCGAGGCTGGTTGGAAGATGCCGTGTCTTTATATGGCTAAGTCAAGGGATGCTAAGGGGAAAATCGCTGTATGCGATTTTCATTTTATGTCCTGACTCTAGAGTACAGCTCCTGTGTGACACGCAGCTCCTCTGTCTGCACTGGTGTTTCAGTGCCTCAAATTATCCCACCTGCCGGCCTGGGGAGCCAGCTCAGATGTGAGTTTGGGTCTTATTTTAATGCTGTTGGGCGGACGAATTCTACCAAGCCCAGCTGTCCTTGATGCTAGATGTCATTATATCGTCAGATTGGAGCTGGGCGACTGGGGTCATTTGTTATGGGTGGCTGCCGATTGCTTATCTCATAAATGATGGACCCTTCTCTCAGAAGGTCCCCATAATTTAGCATGTTCTTCACTCTGTCCCTTCTCGGTTACCCATTTCTATTTCATGGTTTTTGTTTTTTGTTTTTTTTTTAAAATAACTTCATTTTTTATGTAGCCAGGGACATTGACAACCCTTTAAAAATTCTCTTAGGTCTATAAAAAAATAACTACGATTTATCATATGTAAAACATACTTATTTGTTAAATAAACTATACAATGAAAAGGAAATGTTTAAAATCAAGCATCATCATAGAATTAACTAACTCTAGACCTACAAAGTGTTTCCGAAGGATGTCTTATTCCAAACAGCAGGAACACGGATTTTCTTTTCTCTTCCGTACGATTTTGTCTATAGAATTACTTTAAGAATGGAAAACAATTGCAAAACCGAAGGACAGTTATTCTGTTTCTTTTTATTCTCACTTCTTGCTTTCCGTGGTAGACAGTTATGTTTTTTCCAGCCCAGCACTGATCCCCCCGCCGCCTTCTTTTGGTTACAGAACTATGTTCCTAGGGGCTCACCCCAGCCAGTCTCAGCTCACGGGGACAGTGAGCTGACTCCACCTCGGGCTCTGAGCTGGGTATGTGACCGAGGCCTGGCCAGTCAAAGCAGGGAATCCACATGACCCCATGGTTACTCCAGATCGGTTCAATCAGAAATAATCCCGAGATTTTTCAAGAAGCAGCCAGTAATGATTTTCTTTCTTCTGGACTTGGAGCTTTGAGGTGATAAGCTTGAACTGCTGAGGGCAACCAGCTTAAGAGATTATGCCCGAGATAAAGCACAACTGAGAGGTGGCCAGGACCTGAGTCCCTTGTGGCATTGTTTTGAGC